TGCTGATTAAAAAAAAAAATTAAAAACATCACTAAAAATACTAGTGGTTCCAGTTTCAAATCTCAGCAGGGATTTTAAATAAGAATTCTAGTAGTCAGCCCTCCTAGACAGGAATTACTCTTTATGCCAAAATTGTTTTATTCATAAGGAAGCTAACTGAAGGTCTTGGGATCAAATCCTGCTCGTTATACTAGCTTTTCCATCTGAACCAAGGCCATAAAAAGTCATAATTGAAATAATTAACATGGTCAATTATGATTACTAAATACATATATGGATTTTAAAAAACGTTTAATATGTAAAACTATTATAAGAGGCAAGAAAGATGGGAACAAACTGTAACACTATGCGGTCGTGGGAATAAAAAAAATTCAAATCAAACTTTGTCACACACAATCACTATAGCATTATTATCGAAAAATTGGATATTTCCTTAATGGTAGGAGGAACTGACAATTGGATAGGTAACTAACAGAACACGAATGATTTATGAAATAATAGTAAAAATAAAAATCATAATGAATGTTAACATTCATGGTTGACCTCACAGCATCACCTAGCATGTTTGAGCACACCAACTGCTGGTTAATAAATGAATGTATAAAAATTTAAAGGGGCAACAAATACACATAAAACTAAACAAATCTATTCCTGATGGAATATAGAATCTTAGAAACAAATAAAACTTGCTTAACTAGCCAAGTTTTTAATTTGAGCAAAAAATGTCATGAATGTAATGTATAGTTAGGAACTTTTTATCTGCAATTAATATTATACCAGCAATACAGGGAGTTGTATGAGTATGTAGTATACAGTTTTTAAACCTTTTGGCTTGTTTTTTGACAAAATATGCTATACATAATTTTTTTACCACATTGGAGTATATTGTAACTGGCCAACATAAAAATGTTAATACTTAGTAAAAGTCTCATTTTGGTTGAGATATTTAAGCTGGACCAACGCGAAAAATTATTAAACATTATCATTTTGAAATCCGAATTAAAAAATGTAAAGCATCTAAAAACTACACTTCACAATGAGAATCTTTAAAAGGACAAAATCAGACCAAAATTAAGGAAGTTAGGGGAGCGGACATCTCCCATGGTACACCCTTTGTTTTAGAGGCTAATTTGTTGTGGAATGCCAAGCAATAAAATTTTTGAAAATATAATACATACACTATAGGAAAAAATAAAGAATTTGACACCAATAGAAAAAGCAATGATAGTATAAAATAAAAAAAGAACTTACCTGCTAGCAATTTATCCAACATTCTGCCAATTGCATTGAGCGTATGAGAAAAAATTAAAATGAAAAACAATTTTAAAAAAACTTCGTTCACAACTATAAATGAATTGAACTGAATGGAATTTTCCAGTAATATTCATTATGTATGGTCTGGTTCTTTCCAACACACAAAACAACAAAATAAAAAAATAACAGGCGAAACTACAATTCATTTCATTTGTAGGTGTAACCCTTGTAGCACTATCATTTTAAAAGCCAATATAAAATCATTGTATATAATAAAAATAAATAATGGCTCAAATCATAAAATAAATGTGAAGCTACTTATGCTCCTACTCCTAGGATGACAAGGACAATTTCTATTTCCAATATCAGTACCATTTGAAGACCAAAAAATGGACAGAGATTTATTTGCAACAGTTGGGACTTTTGTGAGGTACAGAAACGTGTCCAGTAATTGGAATAGGAAGTTTAAAACTTTCAATTTTGTATTTTACCAAATGTATTTCTCTGGGAATGCTTTATTAAGAATTACTTTTATTGTATAGTAATTATTCAAGCAATCTCATGAAGTATAGAGGTAAAATTCAAAAGTTTAATAGAAATTGGGTCGGAACTTTCTCAATTTCACCCCATTCACTACAAAAAAAATCTCAGGAAGTGTACCATTTCAGCTTTGCATAAAATTTTCAAGGAATAATTTGCAATTGTTAATTTTATATCACACATGTATATAAAAGGGAAAATTGTAGAGATGTAATTTTTCTGAAACCTACATCACACCAGATCGTATCTCACGATTTCTGAATAATTATATAGAGAGCACTTTTTTTTGCGTTTCGACCTATATTTGGGTCTTCATAAAATTGTGGTGCTATTCTTGTGGTGTCAAATTGGTTTTGTGTGAGTGTGAATGACATGTGCAAGAATAGCACCACCCTTTATGCCTGAAGATGACCCGAATAAAAGTCAAAACGTTGGATAAAAAAAAATGAATTAAACTACCTCATTCTTGACTGCTCCTCACAACTCCAAACAAAATATGTATATACATTCATGAATATATTATAATTAAAAATGAAGAATATGGTACCAATAAGAACTCACCTGCTAACTATTTATCATGTTTGAGCTAGTTAAATTAAGTGAACTAAAACTTAAAGAAAAAATAATTTAAAAACTAAAACTTGGACGAGTTACAAATGAACTGAACGGAAAGGCATTTTTCCAGCCATAGAAAGTTCAGAATTACCATGTATGACTTGGTTGCGTGAAATTTTTTTAATGAAAAGCTACCAAGCAAAACTACTGCCACCCATTCCTTTTTAAAGGATCAAGGCTGGTAGTCTGATATGAAATATACCCAAAAGCGCCCTCTAAAAAGTACAAATATTAGGACAAAAAACCAACACCAGTTGAGAATAGAAAAATGCCTTTTAAAAAAAATTGTTTAGAAAAACCCTAGAAAAGTCAAATGTTTAGAAAATTTGCAGTCAGTTATCTTGAATATTTTTCACCAAACGTGAAACAATTTGTATAGCTCTAGAAGAATAATCAGCAAGTGTCCACTTTTGTTTGAAATTTCACTGTTATAACAATCAAACCGGAGTAAAACCAATTTGTATCAACAGCTCTGCAACATATCGACAATTTGTTAACAAGCCCAAAAATTGGAATAAGAAGAAACATCAAAATTTCTGCTGAATTTCTTCCAATTTTGGATTTCAACCCAAATATACTTCAAACAGTAGTTGCACTTTGTATAAGAATTGTTCGTATTGTACAGAAATTGTTTCTACACAAAGCATACCCAGCCAAGTACAATGGGGGGGTAAAATACAAAATTGGAAACTTAAAAAAATGCAATACTAATTTTGATGCAAATTCCTAATTTGAGTGTTCCATTTAAGAAAATCTTCAGCTTTATTACAAATCCGAAAATTAATTCACAATTACAATGAACTGAACAGAAAGATATTTTTCCAGCAATGTTTAAAATAACGACCTGTGGGTTTTTTTTTTAAATTTCTATGAAGTTATCAAACAACACTAATGACTACTCCAGTTAGTTGACAACCACTGTTACTACTAAGGGGCGTCCAAAATTTGCGCAAAGAAAAAACTTGTAAAAAAACCGCTCAGAATGACAACCCAAATGTTTAGAAAATTTTGACCAAGTACAATTTGGAATAAATTGTACCTAACGTGACCTAGAAAATAGGTTTCATTTTAATCAACCTAATACACAGAGGACTTTTTTTTTTTTTCTTCATCTATTTCATATTCAAAACATCCTGTGAACATGTGAGGGTTAAAAAATCTCTACACAGGGGTAAGGAAGAATATCAGTTTATAATTACAATGAAACGAAAATAATTTTACCAGTAATAGAAGCTTAAAATAGCCATGTATGACCTGTTTTTTTAAATAATTGGTGGTTATAAAAAATTTTGGAAAGTCACAATTTTTCACTTTTAAGGCATTTCAGAAGAAAACCATTACAGCTCCATTGTGTAGAAGAAATAAATTTGGGGCACTATACAAGCTCTGACCATCGTTAATACACAAAAAATTAGTACCTAATTTTACTACCGAATTTACAAATTAAAAGTAATAGTAGCAACTATAGAGTACATAACTTACCTGCCAATAATTTACCGAACGTTCTGTCTTACCTGCTAATATACCCAAGCTCTGCCAATTTCATTAAATACCAAACCAATACAATAAAACCCAGGAGAAATTCTAGGAAAAACGAATAATTAAAAGCTGGCTAAGAATTATACCAAAAGCTTCCTCTAATATAACAAAAACCATTGTCATGTTAAATACAATTCCAAGTCATGCTTGAAATATACGAATTACTAAAAATACTTTTTAGCGAAGACAAGAATAAATTTGTAAGCACAGCAGTTAAAGCAATGCTAAAAATTCGCACTGAGTATACCCAGTAGTATATTAAAATAAAATTTAATTTTCAAAATTTTTAAATTCAACTTGGATGAGAAGTCACGAGCGAGATTTGAACCCACGATCTTACAAGCTTTCCTTTCACTCAACCAGAACTTCAGTTCAAAATATAATTAATGAGACCAAACATGACTATGAAGTACATTTAGAAAAATGTCTCAATATCTAAACATGAATTACAGCTTACAAAAATACTAATGCACAAAATCCAACTTGATGCATATAGACTTGAAACTTGAGCGCACCAATGACGTTTTGACAGCTATGTAAAACCATGGCTCTAGTTTGTTTTTCCAGGTTTTTAGTTCATAGAACGAGTAATTTTTAAAATCGAGAGGAAAATTGCACTTTCACGATTTTTCTGTTGTTCGTTTAGACCGTATATTTTTCGTTAAGCATACACCTCTTAAAAGATATACCAAATAAACAAATAATACTTATCACTTCATCATGAACCGAAGTACAATCTGCTTCAAAATCATTAATTTCAGCATTTATTCCATTATAAAAATTAAATTAAAACAAGCACTGATCATTAAAAAAAAGGTCATGTTGGAATGAATAAATCATTCGATCTGGGCTGAAGATTCTTCTAACAAATTGGCTTTGCAGTAATCAGATTTTGAGAACCCAAATCGCTACAAAATCAGTTTGTGAGTAGAACTATAGCATCGATCATATTCAAGTACGATTTGTTTATCATTAAATCTGTAAATACTAGTACTTACCAAAACTTCTTAAACACAGGACTTAAAACTCTTGGGGAATAATAAAAACACACGTTTTTAAAAATGTTTTTCTTATGCACATGATCTAAGCACTGCTCGATGCAGCAACTCTTCAAGGAAAAATATTAAACCATTAACGTAAAAAATTAATCAAACCGAAATGGTGTTAATTTACCACAGAACTTTGGTTTCTTCATTCTAAATTTAGAGTTTAATAAAAAATTAACCGGCCCGAAGGAAATACTTACCTATACACTCTTGGCAAAAGAACTGAATTTATTTTTTTTTTTTTTTTAATAAATCAGTCACGCCCTGTTATGGCTGAACTTAAAAAAATTGTTACCATAATTTTGTAGGAAATTCTCTTCTCAGTCTGCTAGCATTAATAGGCAAGATGACTCCATGTCATACTACAAAAAGCTCATCTGAAACTGACCCTGTTAGTTCGATGAATTTAACTGTAAAAGAATACATTATTTACAATATCATGGCTTGGAACTAAACAAAAAATATTTTTAAAAACTGCTTAAAATTTTTAATTGGCCAAGCCATTTGTTAAAAATTAATTAAAAAATAAATAAAATAATATCTGACATTTTAGTAAAATTACAACAGATCACTCCAGTTCCTTAAAACACTCGAGTATTATTCAAGACATGTCTCCCAATCAATTGAATAATGTAAGGTGCAAACAGCTAGATCTGATCTAGCTGTTAATACCAGACAAGATACAATAAATTTGGAAATATTTCTGTTTATACGAATACCCAAAGAATTAAAACAACCGTTCTGTTTATTAGTAATTTAACTAAATTGCCAGGTAATTTATTAAACAACAAATAATGTAAAAAAAATTGAAAAGATTTTAAAGCCCTGAGATTAAAAGGAACTTAAAAGTTAAAATTGGCTTTTTATTTGGTACACTCACTTTACACATACTCACTCAAGTCTTCATTCCTGCGTCAATTTCCTCTTCTTGGGTTATCGTCTCTCCAACTACTTACCATGGTTTTTGGTGCAGACGTCATCTCATCAGTCTTCTGTTTTGAATTGGCACTTTTAACACTCCCGACTTTACAAGCAAAAGAAAAAAACGAGCAAGTAATGCATGGGTTGCATTACTTGTATTATCGCGGTTTTTGGCGGATATCTAATAAAAAAAACACATTCGCAAATGCATCGCTCGCTTACTTTTTTTTTCCTTTACAATGCGAAATGTGTTTCAAGTTTGCATCGCTCGCTTAGTATCAATAAACCGTGAATTTATTATTTTTAAATAGCAACAAACGGATAGGCTCTCACCGATCAAACTGCATTAATTTTTCATGTACGGCGGAATGACCCGAATGGCATTAACGAATGCCCAGTTATCGGAAAATTAAAAGTAAAAAAATAAAAATAAAATAAAATAAAAAAAGAGAGAAAAAAAGAAAGAAAAAAAGAATAAAAATAAATGGGTTAATTGAGTTTGGGGAGTTAGTAGTTTTCATGCTAAGGCTGGGCGGGAGAACCGCCTTACCTGTATTTAAATACTTCATGCCCTTCAATTTGAGCGGCACCAAAAAAGCCACAAAACAGTAACAACTAACAAGAAGAAAGAAGAGCATAGCAGTTGAAAGAATGTGACTGTCATTTTTTGGTGTCCAACTCAAATCAAAGGTACTCTGAGTACTGTAAAACTGAAGAGGGGTACCTTGAGAGTTGCCAGCCGAATTATTTAGTTCGTGTTGAGATCCAATAGAAACGTCGTCATGTTGTGACTCCGATCCTGCCCAATTGTTGAAATCTTGAAAAGAAAACGAACATATTAGAGAGTGGAGAAACAGACAATTAGAGATTCAAGAAAATTATTATATTAAAAATACCTTGGCCAAAAAATGATCCTTGTGATGTCCCGGGGTTAGGTCCGTATTCCTCATCTTCTTCCAGAGAATACTCTTCCATATTCCTTGTATCGTCCATATATTCTATTTTAGGTTGTAGGAGTTTAGAAGGCGTAGGTGTCGTATCTCCGGTGGATTCTTTCTTTACTTTCACAGTTTTTTCTTCTGTTTTTGGAGTCATATTGGCAGCATTTTGGGATGGAGGAGGAGTCGGAGCTGTATCGCAAGAGTTCGAGTCGCCAGGAAAGTTCTCATCCCGTGACCGTCTCCGTTTCCGTTTCGGCGAAGACGGCCTTTCGACCGGCGTCATGCCGACGACGGGGCTGTGAGACCTGCTGTCTTTCAGTCCGACTTTTCTACGCAGTTCATTGCTCGATGCCGTGCCCCCTCCTTGATCCGTCGTGAGACCTTTTATTTTTAATGCTTCGGCCGCTTTTATAAATGTACTCAGTTGGTCGTGAGATACGTTGACCTCTCCTCTGTACATGTACTCCAACATAGCTTTAAGCTCATCAAAACTGATATCGTTAAATATAAGAATCGGATGTTTGTCATCGTGATTCTTCAGGATTTCCTGAAACAAAAAAATACATAATAAAAACTTCCGCAATTTTCTTTTGAAACTATAAAATTTTTTAAATAACCTATCATAATAAATAAATAATAAGGAATTTATATTTAGATTGGTGATCAGTGAAATATGAATTAAACACTGACGCATAAATCTAAAATTTTGCTTTATGAGAAAGCGCAACCGGAGCCAATCGGTGAAAATCTTAAACACCGAGCTCGATAATCTCAAATTTACATGTTAAAAAAACTTTCACTAGCAATTTTTTGGGTTGAAATAAATATATTTAGCTTGGTGATCAGTGTAAAATATGTTGACACTAACGCATAAAACTAAAATTTTGCTTTACGAGAAAGCGCAACTGGAGCCAGTCGGTTATGATATTCATCACCGAGCTCATTAATCTCGATCAAAATTTGTTCTTATATCAAAAAATAGTATACAAAACTATCATTAAACTATTCATCTATTTCCTAGTACACTGGATGAAACGAATGTATTTAGTTTGGTGATCAGTGAAATACAAAATTTGCCACTAACGCATAAACCTAAAATTTTGATTTATGAGAAAGCGCAACCGGAGCCAATCGGTGAAGATATTCAACACCGAGCTCGATAATCTCAAATTTCTAGGTTAAAAAAACTTTCACTAGTAATTTTTTGGGTTGGAATAAATATATTTAGCTTGGTGATCAGTGTAAAATATGTTTGACACTAACGCATAAAACTAAAATTTTGCTTTACGAGAAAGCGCAACTAGAGCCATTCGGTTATGATATTCATCACCGAGCTCATTAATCTCGATCAAAACTTGTAATGTCATATATCAAAAAATAATATGCAAAACTATTACTAAACTATTCACCTATTTCCTAGTACACTGGATGAAATGAATGTATTTAACTTGGTTATCAGTGAAATATAAAATTTGCCACTAACGCATAAACCTAAAATTTTGATTTATGAGAAAGCGCAACCGGAACCAATCGGTGAAGATATTCAACACCAAGCTCGATAATCTCAAAATTCAATTTAATAAAATATAAGCAATTTTCATTCTTAATGGGGTGAAATGTATTTAGCTTGGTGATCAGTGAAATACAAAATTTGCAACTAATGCATAAACCTAAAATTTTTATTTATGAGAAAGCGCAACCTGAGCCAATCGGTGAAGATATTCAACACTGAGCTCGTTACTCTCAATCACCATACCATCAAATGTTTACAATTATTAATAATAACAAGAAAAAAAAACATTTCTTTAAAACAAAACATTGATAAACATCAATTACAGTAATTGGAAAAATATTATTAATGGTTCACAATCGGGAAGTACTATCTCCCAAGCGAGATTACTTCTGTATCTACAATAGATAAAAAGTTCATACTCGCATTGTCCACACAGTTTAAACATTTTAACTTTCGTTTCAAAAACACTTTTAAAAACAAGGCCAAGATAAGTAAAAATTACTAAACTAAGTTTTTTCTCCCAAGTTGTTAAGTCCATTTATACAACAGCACATACAATGGGAAAATACTTAACGAGTTACAATTAAACTAATTACGATGGCAAACCATTGTACCTTCCAATCCAACCGTAAATAATCATCCATTAACGACCCAAGATTATTAGTAAACCCGTCCAGGGAAATGTTTTGAAATACTACCACTCCTGCCAAAAATTAACTTAGTACAACCCACCATCACCACTGATTTGGTCAATAGATCCCATTTTATGGATACCAGGAACTGGTACAGCTTATTGTACCCTTTTTCCTGATTCCATTTTGGGAGCTCACAACACTCATGTAAAAATTTTATTTGCGAAGGATCAAGGATTGAATTCAGGGTCTAAAACTCTGACCCGCTGAGCCTTCTGCCCATGAGTGCCGTTTTGACTTACATTATGGCCACCATTCCCCTTATGCATCAGAGAAGGGAATCGAAACCACAACAGCAGGATCTCACGCTATCGCAGTCCCCTCAAAAGTGGGACAGTAAATGAGGAAAAAAGCAACAGGAGAATTATGCTTACTTATTTTTATGTTACCACATATTAAAATATACATCTTTTGAAAAGAAAGGCTTCCCTTTCCAACCATTAAATTCATACACTCACTCTCAACAAATGTTTATTAATTTAAACGTTTTAGTGTTATATCATATCAATTATAAGTAAAATAAAAGATTTCAATTAACTTTTTTTTCAGTTTTCACTTTCAGGGGTTAAAATCTCTCTTAAATATGCACATTTATCAAATCACGGATGCAATAAGAAATATAATAGATTTATGTTTTCGATGTTAAAAGTATTAACCATTTTTTCACTCATGAAAACTTTAGATCAAGGTATCGTCATTAAGAAATGAGCAAATTTAATTGTTTCTGCCAAGCTTTCGACCTATTTTAACGTCATCATCAGGGAGAAACAATCTCAAAGTGTACAGATGGACATATTTAATTTTTTCAAAGGTCATTTCAAATTTCCTTGAAGACCAACTCAGTCCTAGCATTGTGTAAATATGTCAATCTGCAGACTTTAAGAATGTTTTATCCGGATGACCTTAAAATAGGTCGAAGAAAGCATGGCAGTAACAATTGAATTTCCTTTTATTTTTCTTCAAGACCCATGATGTGTGAAAAATGAGCGAATTTTTTTGCTTACAAAAAAAAAAAAAAAGTCAATAAAGCGGTATTTACATGGTGTTTATTTCTAGACTTTCTAAATGGACTTGTTTGAACAAGGTATTTCTAGCTATAAATATCTCCAGGGCAAGGCCAAAGTCATGATATGGTGTAATTCCATTAACATACCCGGAGCCCACGGACTTTTTTTTTCCAATGTTAAATTAAAAAATAAAAATGTTTTAACGAGTTTTAATAAAACGGTGAAGTACGTCGAAGGAACTTTTATGGGAATTGGACCATGGCCTTTTATGGGGTGTGACGGGCGTGAGGGCATACATAATGGAGGGCTGACCATTTTCTCTACTCTCACATCCAACGCGTGAGAAAGAAAAAAGCTTTATTTCATTTTAATGAGGTTTGATGGTAGTATAAGCAGGCGGGTGGTACAATTATTTAAAAAAAAATTAAAAAAGAAAATAAAGGGAAAAAAGCGTGGGAAATGACGTTTCCAACTCGCCATCATTTCCAACTTTCTCACGAGTTGCTTTTCGGCCATGGTTTTTCCCGTTGGCGTTTCCCCACCACTGGCCCAGATCGAGTTCAAGAACCCGACGGCGCAAAAGCCATGGAAGGAGATAGCCTCATGATCAATGGAAAAAAGTAGACCGGATTTTTATTTTAATGATTAATAAAAATGTTGAAAGAAACAAAAACAGTTTGGCTAGGGTATTTTATTTATTTATTTTTTTTTTTAATGTCCTCACCATAACGAAAAAAATCAATATGGCCGAAATGCGTGTCGTTCATTCAGGGGGGCAAAACATTCATCTCAAAATAAAAACAAATGCCTTAAATATATTTTTACCTCTAATTAGACGGTTAAAACAAAGTTAAAAGCTCACCTCTAAATACGAGCTGCAAGCGGACAGAACGACTTTGTGAGCTTTCATAAACTTCCCTTCGGCAGCCAGCGTGCAATCCACGAGTGATTCGCACTCAAAAAGCTTATCGAATACGGTAACGAGGGTCGTGTGGTGGTTGTTCCATTTCAGGCAAAATTGCTCGCTCATGACTGTAAATAAAAACACGTTAATAAAACACTCGTAAAAAAAACCGAGAAAAATGAATTTAAAAAAGAATAATAATTATAATAAAGTGGAAATATATTGCTTACCTAATTTTTAAAAAGTATAAAAGTATCACAGAATTACTTTATTCTTTATCTTCTTTGAAAATGGGCTAACAATACCGTTCTGAGTCGACCACCTTCCTCGTAGAGCCCTTCGTCGTGGAATGAGCTTTAATGGCGATGGCGTTGCGGTCGAGTCGTATTGGGGGGCGGATGAATACACTCCAGACAAAAATCAAACAAATTCGTCCTTAAGGATGAAAAAAAATTATACCTTTGATAACCATTTCAATATTAAATTTGACAGATTTTTTAATCGTAAAAAACGTCGGGAAATTAGATGGAAAAATTTCCGCTGTTCTTTTTCGTCACCGAAATTGGGACTACTTTGTTGACCTGAATGTGATCCGCCCCACCACGGAACGTTGAGCGTCGCGCCCAGAGTATCGGGATTTTCCGTTTTTCCCGTCGGAATCTGCGAGGATGCGAAACGGTTTCCGTGGGGTGAAAATTGGAAAAATGTCAGTTTTCCCGGACGGAAAAACGGGTCGGAAAGGCTGGCCGGTTTCGGAAAAGCGGCCCGACCGGTTTTCCCGTCGGGACTACTTTTCCCCGTAGGGGGGATCCGGAGGAAAATTTATGACGTTTTAAAATCCATACTTTTCATATATTTTTACCGACTTTTCCGACCCATCCTCGTCCTACAATATTCAGTAAAATTACTAATTTCCCTGAAATAGCGTCTCTCACTCACGCTCTCTCTCTCATTTGCTCTCACTTTCTCTCTCTGACTAAATTATAAAAAAAATTCAAATTACATAGATTTTTTCATGACTGTAAACCGTTTTTAGCCATTTTTCATTAGAATTGTGTTTTATTTCCTATAAAAATGATATATATAAATCAATATATTTTCATAAAATCAAACACTTAAATATGTTTCAGTCCCCCCCCCAAAAAAAATATATATTATAAAATTTAGTAATTATATTTGTTGAAACAAAACTTTCATGTTTAAACGTAGAAACTTTATTATTTATTAAAATTTCAATGCTTGATCAATAATTATTTTGTGGTTACACATATTTTCACAGAATGATGAATTGATCCATGTAAAATTTACAAAAAAAAATCTAATTCAGGGTAGAAAAATATTGATAAGCATTTCTCACAGGATAAATCGTGTATAGCTTAAGTTTCAAATTTTAAGCATAAGAAATTAAATTTGACCAAACAGTGCAATAATAGGTCTACAAAAAATTCTGCAAAATAAATAAAATCTAAATTCAGGTGAAAGCATGCTTTTTCTAACAGGACAAACCATGTCTAAACTAAAACTAATTTTAAATTTAAGAAATTAAATTTCAGACTTTTTAACTGCAGACGTTTTCTTCAGGTTTTTTATTTATTCCAAATTTCTCTACTTGGTCAACAATGATTTCGTGGATAAACACTTTTCAATCAATTTTATGGTTATACATATTTCCAAATTAGCGTTAATAGAACCACAAAAAAATATTGACGATTCAGCAGAATAAATAAAATCAAAATGTAGGATGAAAGCATGCTTGTCTCACAGGAGAAACCCATATCTAAAACTTCAAATTTTAAATTTAAGAAATTAAATTTCAGACTTTTTAACTTAGTTCTTGATTTATTCCAAATTTCTCTTCTTGATCAACAATGATTTTGTCGAAATATACAGTTTAATCAAATAGTCCATTCATTTGACCAAAAAATCTGTGCTTTACAGGTTTATGATTTATTAGAATCACTCAGCTTGATTAATAATTATTTTATAGTTATGCATATTTTTTTTATATATTTTCAAACTATAAATAGGTCCACAAAAAATTGATGACTATGCAAAATAAATAAAACATAAATTCAGGGTGAAATCATTTCATTTATCATAGGAGAAACCATGTCTAATCAAAACTTCAAATTTTAAATTTAAGATACTTTTTAACTGCGGAAGTTTTCTTCAGGTTTTTGATTTATTCCAAATTTCTTCAGATCAACAGATTTTGTGGATATAAACATTTTCAATCAAATAGTCCATTTCACTCAAAACTGATGAAAAACCTGTGTTTTACATGTTTATGACTTATTAGGATTTCTCTGATTGATTAATAATTATTTTATGGTTACGGATATTTTAAAATTAAGCAGCGTATTAATAGATCCACAAAAAATTGACGATTCGGCAAAATAAGTTCAAAATCTAAATTTAGGATGAAAGCAAGCTTTTTTCACAGTCTAATCCAAAGTATGACTGAAATTTGTGTCTGCACAGCAGAGGTTTTCTTAAAAAAATTCCATGAGTCAATAAATAAATTGTTTTTAAATAGATGTACATATTTGTAAACCTTGTAAGTTAGTAATATTTTCAAGTCCTCATTCAGGAGATGTATTCATCCCAAGCTTGATGAAGGAACTTTTTTTTATTGCCTTTATTATAATTATAACATTGTAGGGTAATTTTAATTATATCGGAGATAAATTGGGTTCCAACTGGCTGGAGTCGTAAATTATTTATCTTCGAACACATTCCTGACATTTTTTCAGTAATTTATTGTATGTATTATTAATAATTTAATTAATTTTACCTTGATAACTTCCCTAAAAGATGCACTGGTCGGTATGGACTTAAACACCTTGAAATCTTGGGTAAAAATAATGTCCAAAATAGCTGACTGTTGGATGTAGGGTTATTTTTCAATAGCCATATAGTTTTTGACTACCTTCACACAATTACCACTTACATTGCTGAATTAATGACTATTTAGCACTAATTGCAAGTATCATAATTTTTAATCACCGTTCTTTCCAATCTATACAAGTCAGTTGTTTCGGAAATTTTATTATTCAGAATGTATGGGGGATGTGGCTAGACATTTCTGATTCAATTTACTGGATTCCTAGCCACATAGGGATTATGGAGCTTTAAACATGCAGGAGCTGTCAGTTAGCACAGAGGATTTAACTTTAAGCCTTAAAAATCCAGAAAAGAGTAATAAATTATAAGCTTAGAATGGTCAAGTATGACATGTAAAACATCTTCCCAAGCTGATATGATGAAATTCTTTTGTACACTTTGTGGCGTACGAGGCTGATGATTGAATTCTTATAACTGGGACGACTCCTCCAACTTGTCAATGTGGCGAATGTTTAAGCATGTGTATTCTGTACCGTCCAAATTGTTGCTTTGTTCTTTACAAGGGCGACGGCTTGGAGGGTCTGATTGTTTGGTAAATCAAACTCTCAACAAAACTATTTTTTTAGTATTATCTAGGCAAACATGTGCCCCTAGTTGGTTTTTGCCTATTTAATAATAAAAAATGTGGAATGAAGGCTTTTTTTAAATATTTATATCTTTATCTCTATGAAGAGGGAAGAAAGGAAAAACTGCTTTTTCTGCTTTTCTTTTGTATTTAAAATACCATTGTAAAAAAAAATTTAAAAAATGCTGATTGGAAAGACAGCGCCTATCGATGTGTCAGCAATGATGGACCGTGAGAATGGCTGTTAAATATTACACAATCTCAGAAATCCGAACGCTGCCATCTTTTAATTTAAGACTATTGTTTAAAAAGAAAAAACACAATGTACAAAAATAAATATTGAAATATTTATATATATTTCATAATACTGGTGGTAAAAACAAAAAGAACAAATATTGTCAAAGTTCCCAATTTTAAAATTTTTATTATACATTCACTAATTTCGTGGTCCGCTTGACCAATAATAATATATTACAATATCTCAACTAAAAAAAACCTTAATTAATTGTAATTTATTATACATTTGAATGCCTTCTTTTTTTTTAAAATAAATTATATTGTGCTTTTTTTTTTAAATATCACTTTTGATTCGGTGTTTTCAAATGAAGTGTAAAACAGAACTAAAACACCAAAATGGCAAATTTTAAATACAAATAAAACTAAGAAAAAAATAAATTTAAATTTATTTTTTTGACAAATACACATATACACAGACGAATATTACGATACACAAAAAATATTAAAAAATAGACAATAAATAAATTAAATAGTAATACTTTAAGTACAGTATTTACACAACGGAAAAATAATATATAAACTTTGGTAAAAAAACATTCTTTTAAAATATAGTTTGGCAAGGGGAAAGATGTCAAAGGGTAGTTCGCTTTATTAACTAAACAGATTTATTTCAAAAGTTGTGCATCGACTTGAGTCCTGTGCTTTGAAAAGTAGTGTACACGCAGGTGGGTCTTACGTTTGGCTTTATAGTTGCAGAGCGTGCAAGGGAAGAGCGTTATTCCGGGGTTGTGCTGTTCGTTTATGTGCTTCATAAGGTTGCACTTGAGCCGGGAGGAGTGTCCGCAGTATGGACATCCGTAGAACTTTGTCCCTAAAAATACACCAGTGTTATTCTTTTCTTTTAAAGTCAAATAAAATGATTAGGATGATAAAACTACTAGTGTTAATATAAAATTTTATTTTTTCCTGTAAGAGTTTTACATTTTTTTTTTTTTATAATTTACCTTTAATTTAATAAGCTAAAAAACTACAAGGTGTTATTTTTTTTTGTTTTTATGTTTAAAAAGACTATTTGACTTTATATACAATGATGGTCTTCTTTTTAGGCTCGAGCAGCCCGATGTGGGCTGTCTGGAGGTGCCGGAGGAAGCCGGATCGGCTGTGAAAGCGGTCGAAGCAGTGAGGACAGTTGTTCGTCTCGTAAAGGAATTTCCCATGTTTGAAGAACGAGTGGATGAGGAACGCAGACTTGTCCTTGGTCGTATACTGGCACAACTCGCACGGGAAGCAAACGTTTTCTTTGTCCTTGATGCAAGAATGGTTCTCGAGTTCGGAACGCGACTTCGACGAAAAGAAGCACACCTCGCACAACAGCATCTTTTTATTTTCCTCAACTGCAATTTAAACGACAAAAAAAAAGGAAAACAAATTAAAAATAAATTCTTATATTGATTAAAATGAAAAGGGGAGGGGGGAGAAAGAAGAAAAGGTTCTCTTAAAAGAAAACTCAAGATTAAAAATCATACAATGTGGGATGTATACAACAGGTTTTTAATAAATTGAAAACAAAATTTTACAAACTTTATTTTTTTTTTTACAATTATTTTGTCTTTTGAATAACTTATAAATATCAATATTATTATATAAAAATTTTAAAGCTTTTTTTTGGGGGATATAGGGGAGTTGGTCACTAATAGTGTAGATTTTTAACAAATATGTATGATATGAAGACCACAATAATTTTTTTTAAATTAATTAATTTTTTTGCAGAGAAGAATAAGAAAATTTCAATATTAATGTTTATTTTTTATCTTATTATAAATAAAAAGAAATCCATTTAATGTTATTTTAGTGGGTTTATTGCATCGTTTAGTCAGGAGTCTTCATTTAAAAAAAAAAAAATAATAATAATAATAATAAAATTTACCCTAACTTCCGTGTTTTTTACCCAAAAAATTCATAGTAAACAACATTTGCCTTTAAACGAATTACTTTATGAATTTAATTTTGAAGAAATAACTACAATGAATTACAATATATTAAAAATAAATTTAAAAAATGATAGTTAACTACATTACTGTAATATAAATAAATTTTAATGATGGAATAAAAAAAGTTTTTAAACAAATACAAATATATTACCAATATTCTGTTTTCTTCTTGTAAATTTGTAAACGCCCTCCACTATATTCTTGTTTGATTGAAAATTAAAAAAAAAAGTTTCTCACTAAACAACTGAATCAAAGTTTATTAAAAAAAATTTAAAAACAAGAATTGTTAAACCGTAAAATTACACATTTGAAAAAAACGGTTTCATTTTTAAACTTAACTAACGAGGTCTACTGAATTTGAAGAGAGCACGTGCTTGAAAAAGTTGTGTGTCTTTAATTCATTTCTCCTTTTCGTCTTGTAGGAGCATAAATTGCATTCAAAGTACTTAACGTTGGGATTGTGCTTCTCATTGCAATGCTTTGTCACGTTGCTTTTCCATTTGGACGAATATGGACAATGAGGGCAGCCGAAGGTTTTATCTGTAAACAGATTACAATCGTATGAAGGCACCCGTTTTAAAAGAATCGTTAAAATTAATTAAATATAATAAGAGGATTCTCCATTAAATAATATCATTCTCTATTCATATATTTAATTGAAATTCTTACATCCTAAATATTTTCCTGCTTTATGTGCTTGGTAAAGTAATGGGTTTTTAAGTTGCTCAGCCGCTTCGACTGAAAACGGCATTTAGAGCATGAGTACAACTTTGGGTTCGGATTGTGTTTTTCGTTAATATGCGTCGTCAGGTTGTTTTTCCATTTGCAGTACTTGTCGCAGTATGGGCATTTGAAGCCCAAGAATTCTGCAAAAACACATTTTGTTAAATAGGTCGAATAAAATAAAAATTGCCTTAAAACAAGCCGCTGGGTGGGGTGTCTTTTGGAAGGGTTAGCAAACTGCACAAAACCTAAGTAAATCTAAAAACTTTCTTAAATTAATACAACAAACAAATAATAACAAAAAAGGAATTGGTTTAACTTGTTTATTTAATAAAAATAAAAAATAAAATAAATAAAAAATAAATAAATTAGTTAAAAAAATACAATCCTTTGGCATGATGTATTGATCGCACAGGGTATTTAAAAAAAAAACAGAAACAAATGGAAAAATATCGTTCACTTATATTTTCCCATTTGTCTGAAACGAAATCCCTTGAAACACTGAAAAATCAAAAAATATAAAAATTTCCGCATTGTAACTTTTTTGTCTTCCATACCTGAAAATTTATGAGAATTAAAACTCAATACTGAACTTAATTATTACATATATGCTTGTGGTATGTGTGCTTGTATAAACAAATTCTCTAAGTATACACTTATATTTATAAAATTTACAACTTGGTGGGGGGGGGGAAAGACAAATATTCATAGTGGACTGCAATGCAAAATTACAAAACATTTTGTTATAATGAAAATGAAAACAAAAGAAAAAAAGGACTAATCTAATCATCAGATAAATATTTTGGCAACAAACAAAATGACCTTCATTAATTTAATTTTTTTTGTAAACAATGGAGCAAAAGAAAAAAAAAATTCTGTCAGTACTGGCTTTGGGACCTAATACATACACCCAAGAGACAAAAAGATAGCCCCAAAGATTTTAAGCGTCTACGATCTCAGGAGAACCCTCACCCTCATGCCATGGCCTTCCCAGGGTTAGGATTGTGTTCTGGCCACAGCAGTTATTTTCCCATGCATTTCGGGACTGCTTTGGCCTGTAACAAAACAGCAAACTCAATAGCCAATGAAATTTCTTCGAGAGCAAACTTTTTATTGTATTTTTTGTTTTTTAGGCATTTTTTTTTTTGTCTACAAATGTCTAATAATAGTGAGCATATAGCCAGTGCATTAGGTTTTCTACAAGATTTCTATATCCGATTCCTAGGTCATATGACCACAATCCATACAAAACCGTTTTTTTTTTTTTTTTTGCCAGGTGGACTGCTTAGCAACAGGGGAAGAACCATTTTAAAAAAAGACAGTCCCTCATGCCATAACGATCTCATGGACTGATAAGATTTTTTGAAAAATTGGTACATTTGTAGTTGAGGAAGTAAGTAAAGATCCACTTTTTTTTTCATTTATACCCGAAGAATGCTAAAAAGACATGAGTGTCATGACAATTATTATAACAAGCCTAAAGTAGTCTTTTGTAAGGTATTTTGGGGTATTTTTTTATGCCACATAATAGAAAGTACAATCCCAAAAACATAGAAGACAAATTTAAATTACAAAAGTGAACATTTCTTTGGTTCTGAGAAGAAAAGCGGAAAAACCATGGATAAAAAATACAGACCCAATGATCAGTATTTGGCTTAGAAATTATTTTAAGGTACAGATCTGTTTAAAATCCAAGTACAAGAGGAACATTTTTTTTTCAATATTAGCTATACAAAGTCAAGTATGAAGTCACGATAGCTAAAGTGGTAGAGTAGCGGCGTATCAAGCTGAAGGTTTTGGGTTCGAATCCCGCTCATGACACTGACTTTTTTTTAATCTCAACTTAAAACCTTAATTGATTGATATTATTTGGTCAAGTGGATCATGAAAAATAGTGAATCATTCATTGTTTGGTTGTGTGTTTTTGGAGAAAGGGGAGTGTGAAAAAAACCAGGGGTGATGGTGGAATCGAACCCACAACCGTACGGTCTAAGAAGCGAGAGTCTATCACGCTGACCACTTGACTACCATGGCTGCCAAAATTTTCTACTTGTGTATCGTCATTACCTTAGCTATAATTTAAAACAAGACAATCATCAATGAACACTCTGTTGATTATCAGAATGGACCAGTCAAATTTGAACTGTATTGACAAGTATCAATTTATCCGGGTTATTAGATGAAAATCGCTTCAGGCTAAAACCATCCTGATGAAGATTTAGACATGATGGTCAGGTATAATAATACGCAGATATAAATAAAAAGCAGCAAAGGAGATGGTTAACTTGTCATCGAGCTAGAGCTGGAACCATGAGCTATCCATGAAGGGACACCCAATACTTGATGGAGGTCATGAAAGGTCAGACATACGATCCCTGGGGAAGGAAACTAAATGGATCAGTAAAAACAGATATGTCATTCCATTGAAGGATGGGACTCCCAGGTCAGAAGATGGTCAAAATGCTACTGGGAAGGAACAGAGGACAAGTTTAACTAATCTCAGATGTGATGATGCTCAAATGCTCAAAGCCGAAAGGATGGCAAGCAGAGACAAAGATCAATGCACCATAGAAACCTGAAACGTACGATCTATGCGCCAGCGCAAATTGGATGTGGCTAATGGTCAAGATATCAAAATTAAATATAGACATTTTAGGCGTGAACTCAACTGTGCCACTTCACATAAGATAACCAAAAAATCTATTATGGTGGACAAAAAGACCAAAGATGATAGTAATTAATAATAAAGTGGCTAAAGCGGTGCTTGGATACAATTAAAAAAAACGGTACAATGATCTCAATTCAAATTCAGGATAAGCCATTTAACATTCATTTAACATTACAGTGATCGAAATATATACCCCGCCCCTGATTATAGAAGCAGAAGTAGATTAGTTATGAGGATGTGCAAATGTTGGTAAAATTATGCCTTTGTTGGAAACCTAAGTTTTCCGCTGCCGAAACAACCAATTTGGTCTGCCTCTCTGAATGGACAGTGTGCAAATGGTTCCAGGAATTTGAAGCCTGTCACATCAGCTTAGAGTGGAAAGAGGATTCTGGATGAAAAACATCATTCGATGAGGAAGCTCTGCGGCACTCTATTGAGGCAGAGACGAGAACGAAAATCTCGGGAATTGGCACGAGAGCTTGGAATCTGTGGACTGTATAACTTGGGGAAAGTGAATCGCTCATTAAGAGTGGTTCTTCATGAGCTGACAGACCATTGAGCAGGCTTTTGAACTCTTGAAAAGCCAACCTTCGGTTGATTCAACTATCCAGTTACTTGCGATGAAAAATGGCTAGACAACAATCAGCCTGCTTTACAAGTCGCTAAACAAGGTCAATTCGATAAAAAGACAATGCTCCCTGTATCCTGGAATTACGAAGGCATAATTCATTATGATTCATTCAAGAAGGTTGAACCATTGATTCAAAACTTTATTGTGAGCAGTTACAAAAAAATGTATACCGTTTTGACCCAGCGTTACCCAGAATTAGAAACAGAAATTGGGTTTTGTTTCAACAAGGTAATACCCAACGACGCACTTCTCATTTCAAGAAACAAAAAATTACAGAATTAGATGGAATTGAGCTTCTCCCTCACCCTGCTTACAGTCCAGACTTAGCACCTTCTAACATATGTTCTGGTCTATGGCTCATTATCTTCAAAGGATAGCTTTTAATTCTCTGGATGAGGATCAAACCGTTGTTGCAGAATTCTTCTGTTCAAAACCCAAAGGCCCAGTTTCACACGGAGAGATGTTCGTTTTGCCTAATGTACTGGACTTAAGAAAACAACTGAAATGTACTAATAGATGCGACACACGAATACTTCGGACCTTCTTACACAGAGAGATGCATATGCGATACAAAAAATATCCAGGTGACTAGATTCAGTCGCCTCCCCTCCATATCGATCCTCTCCCGTGAGGTTTAAAGACCAGGATGTTTGATTCTGTCATATTTTTATAATGGACAAGCTAGAAGCTGTAGCTCTTTGGCATTTAATTAATGACAGAAAAACAACAGAGTAACGTGGTTCACCCATGTTTCATCACGAATTTTCTTTTTTAACTTGATCCACATAATCGTGGTCACTGTTGTTCCAAAGCATGTGATATGTTTAAACTAATGAAATTTTTTTATTCATTTTAAGTTTAAAAGAAGGCGTATGAAAACAAGAGTCGGTCGGATCTGTGGATGATGATCATGACCCAGCATCCTAAGCGACTAAAGTCGGTATCTCATACCGGTCGCCTGCCAGTCTGATGACCATATCTGTCCCTACATCGGTAGGGATCTCGATACCGATCTCTCATAATGATCACCTCCGTGAGAACCAGGCCAAAGAGTGGTACTGCAAAAGAATCCAAACAAACTAAAAACTGAACTAATATCCAACTAAACTAACAGAAATTGGACCCGATAATGAAAAAAAAGCTTCGAAGCTTTTTGTGATGAATTGATCATCTTGTTTTCCTTCACCTTCTACAACCTAGTTATGTCATAATCAAATCTGTTGTTTTTATTTTTTAAGTGTCTAAGTTGTTTTTCTTCCAATTGCATGATTCACAATTATCAAAAAACAAACAAATATATCAATAAAGATTGTAAAACAAATTATTAAAAAGAGAAGTAGCTAAACAAACTGGATTGCACAATTAACAATTCCATGCAACTGGAAGATGTGCTAAGTGTGTAAAATAATCAAGACTTACGGTATACCAGAAACGAAAGCGAACCGCACTTTCGTAGGATTTTGAATGTGACTATCTACCGAATTCGAGAATCACCAGAATGACCAAAAAAAAATATCATAACCTACATTTTTCACTTTAAAAGAAAAAAAATATAGAGATAAAATGTGAGATTTATATTACGAAAGTGTTAGGTATGATGTTTTTTTTTCTTTTAAAGTAAAGAAGGCGGATTTAGATAATTTCTGAAAGGAGAATGGAGTTCTGCGGTAAATGGGACATTCTGGAGAAACCCGACTCGTGTAACCTCACTCGATTTATGGTACGTTTGACTGGTGGCAGGGTAAACACCAAGAAAACCCCTCCAATCGAAAAACACACCAGGAAAATGGCAAAACGTCCTCCGGCAAGTCGTAACATCGGGAAAAACAAAACTACACTTTCATTTTGCATTTGGATGTCTTTGAACTGAGCTTTTAACTTCAAGAAGTCATGTAAGTCCTGTTGTCAATTAAAAAAAAAAATCATATATTTAAAAACAAAAACTGTTACACAAAAACATTATCACCCTCATCAATTACAGTATTTCTAGTTTAAATTATATATTTGAGTAGTTAAAAGCACCCTTTGGTACATTTTTCCTTCAAGGAACCACCAAAAATCACTCAACACATCCCAGCTTGTAGAGACACAATATATATTTTTACTACTACTTTATTATAGATTCTGGATTCTTGGTTGGATCTTATACAGAAAAAAATGAACTGCCAGCCAAATTGTGAGTACTGTTTTTTAAAGTATCTTTCGACTTTTGATATATTTTGATAACTCGTATGTTACAGCCGTAAATAAAAGGTGCTTTGTGAACTTGTGCACGTGCACTTCGCAATCGAGGCCGGAGAAGGTTTTTTTCGCCGTGCCGACTAAGGAGAGCGAACGGCAAGAGTGGTTCGACTCCGTAGGGCAATGCTTTACAAAAAAAACCAACCAGAAACTGTACTGCTGCAGCGATCACTTTGTAACTTGATAGTCACAGTAAAGAAGTTTTTTTTAAATTAAATTAATTCAATATATTTCCCAGGATATGAAAGATATGGTGATATCTATGAAGAGGGACAGCAACGACGTCCTCATCAAGCTCAACAGTACAGCAAGGCCTAAAGTGCAATTTCCCACTATTAATAAAAGTACGTGCATAATTTTATTTAAAACAAATATATTTTAAAAAATTGCTTATTTGTTTACAGGTCAAACCGTTGGGAAAGATACGTCAAAAACATACGTACGCGTAAAAGGTACACAGTTAGAAAGTTTGCGATTTTTAAATTTTTAAATTTTTTTATTTTTTGTTTAGCTTCTTCATTTGGGGCTGATGTCACAAATAAAATGGAATGTTACATGGAAGTCAACAATGTAGGCCAAAATGCAGGTATTTCATCTATTTAAACTATTAATATTTAATAATTTAATAATAATAATGTTGAAAAAATAATAAAGATATATAATTAAAAAATCTAGGTGTCACAATGAGCGGGCCGATCAACCTTTTCTCCCATGAAAATAATGTCGATAACCAACGTAATTAATTTATTAATTAGAAATAGGTAAAGAGTTCAATTAATAAAAATTCCTTTCTTTCAGATGATTCACCAGAAAAAGTGAAAAATCTTTCACCCAGCGCCAACACATCTACAGACAAAGGTAGACAAATTTTCTCTTACAACGCTCAACATAGATATCTGTCAACTTTTCTGCTTGCTTAAATATCATTAAAAATATTCAACAAGGTTTTGGTGTGTAAAGTTTGGTTGAGGAGTTTCTATTACTTAGCCAAAACAGAAACGACCACCTGTTTTATATTTGAAAACACATTGGATCTTGGTACGGTCTTGATAGAAAAACAAACAAAACAAATTAAATTTTACTGCCAAGCTTTCGGCATATTTTAAGGTCATCAGAGCAAAATACTTTTAAATATGTCAATTTGTAGACACATTTATGATTGTTTTGCCCTGATGTCCTTAAAATAGGCTGAAAGCTTGGCAGTAACAATTGAATTACTTCAGAAAAGCCACTGATGTTCCTTTTTCTCAAAAGCTTGGACTCTTTCTACACTTGGTCTTACATTATATTCCGGTTTGGCCAGTTTAACATGGAGCAGTTTTAGTTCATTGTCTAGTTGATGCTCAATTAGTTTCTCACGTATGAAGATTTTTCTTGGCTTGTTTCACTTAGTTGGTAGGAAGGATAGCGCAACAAAAAGGCCAGGGGCGACATGGGAATTGAACTCACAACCTCGGGATCTACGATCAGTCTTATCACACTGTCCACCCGGCTATTGCACTCCCCTCAGTGCTGTAAGAAAATGGAGAAAAGTCACAATTTGAAAAGGAAAAAGTATATCAATGCACCACAAATAAATCATTTTAAATTAATAACAAACAAAGTACCAAAATAAATTAGAACCATGGCGAGAGTGAAAGGAAAAAAATGGAGAAAACTAACACTTTTTTTTTAAACTTAAATGATAAGAATTAATGAGAAAAGGAAAGAAACCTTAGACCCAACTTACAAAATCTAAAACTAGAGAAGCAAATACACAATACACCAATAATACAAAAATGTTAGTTAAGCTAATGTTCTGATACTGGTTATGAAAGTGAAAATAAATTTTAAAAAACTGTCAGAACAGACACTAAAACTAATAGCGCAAGGTATAATTATAGATGAATCAGTTTAATTTTTTTTCGTCATAAATTTTTAAAATATGTAACGTTACCAAATGTGTGAAATCTTCCTGTGGAACCTCTACAACTCAGCCTTCTGTTCAATGATCTTTCTTCTAAGCAAGGCAAGAAAAAAAAAAAAAAATACTAGTCCATGTATAAGTTTCCTATTCTCTTGTGATATAAGAAAACACTGAAGAAACACATTTTTAAAAGGAAAAAGTCTGCCACAATGAAAATCAAAAATATGTCTGAGGTCTGGTCGCAATAAAGACTCAAATAAAATAGATCATTTTTTCCGTTCCCTCGGCTCTCGATCGTTTCTCTTGCTGGCATTGTCATTCCAAGTGCAGACATGATCGCTAAGATATTTCAGATGATTTTTTTTAAAAATATGTTTATTGTCTCTCTCTCCTGTAACTGATTTTTCAGCGAGCTGTATGCCGATTTTTTTTTTAAATTCTCCTTAGGACTCGTTTTGAAAGGTTAAACGCTTTTAAAACAACATAAGCGCTGATTCCAGCAAAACCAAACATTCTAAAACAAAAAAAAATCACAAACACTTAGTTTTGTATGCTTATTATTGTTGATTTCATTGTAGAATTGCAGGCGAAGATCATCGACTTGATCAAGGAGTTTAATCTTCTTAGGCAGGAAGTTACAAAACTCACCGAATCTGTTAACGAGACACTAGATCCAGCCGATTTCATGGTTGTCTACGGTACAATAATCAAGCAGCTTTACAAGTTTAACAAGTTACTGCCAGATGTAAAGCGTTTTCTATCTTATACCGGCAAAGGTACCACGGTTCTGAAATTTGTAGAAGACGATCTTATCAATATGCAACTTAATATATCTCAGCTAATACTGAAAGGTTTGATAAATTATATTATATAAATAATCGCATGAAAGATTACATAATAATTTTTTGTTTTCAGAATATAAACAGTCCGTTAACAAAAAACCTTCGCTTCAATGTTATAAGCATTGTTTTGTATATAAATGTAAAAACAATTGTCAAAGGTCACCTCTACAAATTTTTCTCACTGTACCTAAAAATAAGAACACACGGGAAAAATGGTTCAAGGCATCTGGAACGCCTATGAATGAAGATCATCTGTCTGAATTGTTGTTTTGTTGCGACAGGCATTTTACCGTAAGTGTAGAATTTTCACATATCAACAAAATTATTTAAAAAAAAAAAAAATTTATTTTAGGATAAAGAATTGGAAATATTATGCATGAAACCTTCAGAAAATCATGATGTAGTTCCTAAACCATATTCATCGGCCTTGCCGATTCAAAAAACTTTTAACTTCGAAGAAGATGCGATATTTAAAGGTTAGATTTGTTAACAAGGATTGATCGATTTATACAATTTTTATTCATTTTGAAAAATTTTACAGATTCCTGCAATAAGATCAAAAACATTTGTAACAAGTTGAGGCTGAAGAGGTATTCTCACATGCATTCCCTTCGAAAACTGAAAATTGGAATAATAAAGAAGAGCGAGATGATAGAGAGCGAGTACAAATCGCTGCTGAGCACAATCAACAAACACAGGAGCCATTTCAAATCCTTACAGGAATCCATTGAGAAGCACCTCATCATAAACGACGAGGAAGAAAAGGTCAAAGCAGATTTCGAGTACACATATTTTAAGATAGAAGACTTGCTTCTTCAGCTTTATAAATCGAACGACAGTAAGATAAATTCCAAGCCTATACAATTGTCGGATTGCGATGACGAAAGTTCAAACGATGAAATCGGCAAGCGTGAATTTTTATCATCATCAGACAGTGATGTAGAATTTATACCTGGTGGGGATGAAATGTGCCAGATGAATCCCGATTGCATACTTCTTACTGGCAGCGATCTTGAAACTTCAGACAGCGAAGATGTCAATCAGCAGAATCCTGATAGCATACTTATATCCGACACTGATGTTGAAGTGTTATCGGATGATGAAATTATCAGTACGAATTCCACACCTGTTCAAATTTCAAACAGCGACATTCCGACTAAAAGCAAAAACAAAAACGCAACGACTTGCAAAAATATAAAAAGTTCTAATTGTGATGAAATTATGCAAAATGTCAAAAGCCAACATGGTTCGGAATATTTGCAAGATTCAAGTAACAGCCCTGAAAGCGTTCCGAGCGTACAATTTAAGGAATCGGATAATAAAGTGGACAAAAAGAAAAAGAGTAAACCTTTTGAGATAAGATCCTGTTTTGTCCCGACATGTTCAAACAATGATTTTACCATGCCGCATAAAAAATATATATTGGTACCGAAGGGAAAATTAAGGATAAAATGGTTTAACTCTGTTGGACTTAATGGAGTAACCACTGCTTGTAAAGTGTATTGTTGTGAAGATCATTTTACCGTAAGTGTTATTAATTAATTATGTGATAATTATATTGATGAATTATTTAAATTTTAGGTAGAAGAGCTGCAAAAATTATATCAAAAAGAGGATATCACCTATTGTAAAAATATTATACCCAACCGTGATTTAAGGACTGAAATTTTATCAAATAGGCCCTCTATTTCATCACTGCAAAATTGTAAAACACCTAGAGGTAAAAAACAATATCGATATGTATTTATTTTATTTTTTTTCTAAATAATTCAGATTAAAAACGTTTCAGTTAAAGAGAAAGTTTGTTTTGTGCCCAGCTGCATAAACACGAGCAGTTACATCCCAAAAATGCATTTCTTCAACGTACCGCAAGATTCCAATACAAGGGATATGTGGTACAATTCCGTAGGGTACGTCGCCGAAGAAAATGACTGCTTCAACCAGTACTGCTGCGCCGACCATTTTGTAAGAATTTTCTATATTGTTTATTATATCCTTTTATGATTTATTAATATAATTGGGATAGGGTAAGAGAAAAGGTCCTTATTATAGCATCTGCACAGACAATGTACAAAGAGGACCACAGTAGCCGAGTAGTTAGACTGTACGCTGCTCGGCAACAAAAACATCTCAACATCTCCACTCTGAGATTCATGTTGCGATTCACTACCAAGTAAAAAATGGTTGTGGAATTAGCTCTTGCAGGAGCATCCATAGCTGTTCTGTTGATAATTACTAATGAGGGGAAAAAGTAAAAAAAAGAACATGGCAGGCTCGCACATTGTTTAAAGACAACAAATTAGATACTTTAAAAATGGAAGATGGGATGGGGTTTAGGAATTATATAAGAATGTCCCCAACTGATTTTGAAGTAATTTTAAACAAAGTTGGTAATCAAATTAGTAAAAGTGATAACAAGGGAGTCAATCTCTGCGGCGGACAGATTAGCAGTCACACTTAGATTCCTGGCTAGTGGAGACTTGTATACGAGCCATCCCTAACCATCTGCAAACTATTGGATTGAATGGCTTCAGAAAATTGTAAAATAACTTGATTCATTTTAATTACACAATCATTCCCAAAAAAATAAACTGTAACTTTATGTTCTTGTTTATCTTCGTGTCTGCACTGACACACAACAGGCTGTGAATCCCATTTCCAACAGAATTCAAGTTCAAGATGCAGATAAAGACTTGTAATGGAAGCCTACGGTTACCATGGTACCCGTTAGGTGTCACTACCAGTTCTGGAATAGTCTCGCCTTCCATTCTGCAGCGAATCAGAGCAGAGCCAGTGGTTATATTAGCAGGGGCACTGCCCCGCTGGCTTCAGACTCGTCAAGATGTCAACCCGACGAGGCCTCACTCATACCCTCAGACTCATCAACCCGAGGTCTCACTCACAACCTCAGACTCGTCTATACGATGAGATCTCACCTATCACCTCCAGACTTGTCAACCCGTCGAGGTCTCACACATACCTCAAGACTCGTCTACCCGACGAGCTCTCACTAACTGACAATGACACAGACTCGTCAACCCGATGAGTTCTCGCTTATCACTAAGTACCTAAGACAATGGCAAGGGTATTCTCAGCGTTAGCCTTGAACTTGCCTTCTCAACGTAGCTGTCTTGGCTACAGGCAAACAAACTTGGCCAACTGCTGCACCAGACCTTCAACCGAAGTAGACTCAGCTGTCTCACAGCCCTGGACCTCAGCCAACTGCTCCCTCTACCAAAAGCCCACTCGGTCCCGGCTTCGATACATCGTCTCAACACTATGTTTCCAAACAACACCGGCCAACAGGGCCACCAAAAAACTCCAACTAAAGACTCAAAAAATACCTAACTGCAACATACCAGATTCATGCTGAAAAGAGGCAGAGCAGCACAAGCGAGATTTACAAATATGTAGATTCAGAGTCCCAGTGTGTACAAGGCTTAAGACTCTCGGATCGTAGCCCTCATGGTCATGAGTTCGATTCCCACTATCAACCCTGGCCATTTTTTTCATGCACCCCTTCCCTATAAAAAAATACACATATATACATGTTTCTTTTGCTAACATGCTAGATCATAAGGCCAAAATATAGAAAGTCCGCTAGAACTTACCACCTTACTTCCTTCATGTCTTGTTGCAGGGTGTGTAATGTTCCTTCTTTAGAATGCAATACCTTTTCAAGACTTTTAGGGATGGACTTGTGACAAGTTCTGTCATTTGGGCTTGGATACTTCTCAAGCCTAACAAGTTATTTCATTTTTTTTTTTTTTTTCATTTTAAAAGCTCTTGCTGGACACTCACGGCAACTGCTGGGCTGAGGTTGTTTCCAATGTGTACCAGACACCTTGGTAGAAAACAGATGACTCCTTACAGACTCTTCCTTTCCCATCCTCATCATCAACAAACCACTCTTTTCTCCTCCTTCCGTTCACAATCACCTCTCTTTCAAACTTTTGCGAAGTTGTGACAATAATTTTTCTAGAAAACCATTCGGCGACAATATCTAGATCTCGTTTGGGATGTCCTGTTTTCGTCTACTCACCTCTCCCCTTTCCAACCTTGCACCCTTCCCAACTCTCTACCCTTCCCAATCCTCTACTCTTTCCAACCCCGTACCCTTTCCAACCTTGCGCCCTTCCTATTCCTCTACCCTAAAATAAGAAAAATATTTTTACATATAATTGTAAAAAAAAAAACATAAAAAAATTGCTTCAAAAATGTAACTGAGGTTATAAAAAAAAAATTATAAAAAAAAATGCTGTAAACATGAAAATAGTGTGTTCTTCCCAAATTAATAATGGAAGGAATAAATAGGAAATTGTTAACCAGATTTTTGTTTTTTGCATTACAGAGAAACGAGGATATCATGAAAGCGCCTGGTAGGATCTGGCTGAAGCCAGACGCTTGCCCCGTAATTGTCAACAATGATACATTATTATTACCTAGTTCCGATAGTGATGATTATGTAGTTATAAAAGAAGAAGAACCAGAAGGTCATTTTTTTTTTGTCAAAAGTGGTTTTAAAATTAATATGAAATAAATAGTAACAAATGTTTTGTGTAGATGATTTTAGTGCACCATTGTTAAGCGATGTAGAACTGAAGGTCGAAGAGGATTATGAAGAAGTAAAATTCAAAATTAAAACCGAAGATTCCAGCGATTCCAGTTTATTCAGCAAGGATGGCAACAATTATGAAGCGATGGCAAATTGTGAAGAGTTTTTGGAAAAAGTCGAAGAGAGTTGGGATAAATTTCAAATTGTACAAGAAAAAATAATAAACCTCGTCAATGAAGACAATAAAGAAGTCAAAATAAAGAAATTGACCAACAAAAGCTACGGGGATATGAAAGAGGTGCTTAATGAAATCCTCACGCAACACAATTCGGATGATAGTATATTAAAAAGTAATCAAATTTCTAATAAGGTAGGTTTAAAGTATTAATGGAAAATTGTTAATTTAATTTACAGTGTACAGAGAATTGAGCTTGCTCAAGGACAAGATCGACGAAAGCAAAGTCCCCAAGAACGTAACTGACTTTTTATTGAAAAAGGCTCCCAATGAAGAAAAAAAAGGCCAGAGTTTGGAGGACAATGCGCTTTTGCAATATGTGAACATTAAAGATGTGAAAAAATTGTCTTCCATGATAGAGAAAATGGATACAATCAAGAAGAATATAGAAAAGGAGTATGAAGTGATCGAAGAGCAACTGTCTAAATTGACTTCTCTTGGTGAAACAAGAAAAACCATCATAAATAGTAAATTTAAACAGTTTTTTTCTCTTTTGTTTTTATCGTCTAAAACTATGTAAGGAAAAATTCAATTTTCAGAAGCCAACAAATTGCTCAAAGAAGGAAATATGCAGAAAGGGATACAATTGTTAAAAAGCGAATTGACGCTACTGAGGGAAAAAAAGGCCAAAGAGATAGTTAAGCTTATTTCCGAATCTGTAGAGATGCGCGAAGTGAGTCAGAAGAGGTGGGACGATTGGATCGAGAAGTATTGGATAATGTTTAACGCCATGGAAGACAACTTGTCCAACCTTTTGAAAAAGATCAACAAAAAAAACAGATTGGAGAAAAGCATCAGAACAGAATATAAAAAGCTTGAAAAGAAACTTGATGAAATTCCAAGTACGGACGATCAAATTAAACCTACATGCGATAATGCTATGGGTAAAAAGCGAATACGTACAAGTGCCCCTGAAATAGATGAACCTGAACGTGAGTTGAATATTACATCAATTCCACCTACAATTATTACTAAACTTTTTGTCTATTAGAAAACATCTCTGGTGAGTCTTTTAAACGTAGTGAAAATATAGAAGAAAAGCTTCCATTTAAAAAACTGAAATCAAACGTATTCTTACCTGAAAAATCAATAGGAATAGTTAACAAAGGTAATTAAAAATGTAATTAAATACTTGCTTTACCTATATTAATCATAGCTTTTGACAAAATATTCAAAGAGAAGACTGAAAATTTTTTTGTCACTGTGATAAACCTGTAGTTAGTCTTTCTGTTCATCACGAGCCCTTGTCAATACTTAATTCTCTTCTTAATTATTTTATTTATTTTTAATACAAATTCAAAATAAATGCATACAAAAATAAAGTGTATACAAGAATAAGACAGAATAAATGTACTAAATATAAAGACAAGGTGGATAAAACACCGATGAAAAAAAAAAAAAAACAGCTTTACTCTCTAGCCCATGGCTAGCAATGGGATCGTTGAAGGGATCAGCAGTATCCTGTTTTATTCAGCAGCTCCAGCATACAAAATATAATTTCTGAGGATCCATTATCCCACCTGTGCAGCTCGATACTGAGCACCTCATGCTGCCTCATATTCCTAGGAGGGAAACCCGAAAAAAGACAGAAACATCAGACCCCCACATGTGGTTGAGGGACTCCAATTTATGGACTGAGATAAGATCGTCGTATTCAATACCAAGACAATATTGCCCAGTTTTATACTCTTAATTATTTAATTGCCCTTGATTGGATCCTCTCAAAATGAGCCCCATCCCCTTATCCCCATTTTAATTTAAATATAAAAGTCACGTAGATAATGAAATGTGTACGATTATCAATGTAGCGAGAATAGACTATCTAGGATGATTAGAAATGTTCAAACTACAGATTTTATTTTTGCTTTTTGCCCACATAAAAGGCAGGTCATCAATTGTAAATACGCTAAGAGGTAATTCATTCCTCTTAGAAAATTTAAAAATTTCATTAAGTCAGTTTTTCCTTACTTCCTTGAACATTTTGCCAATTTAAATAGATTAATCATTTTAAACCTACTGCTTTATCGCGTGTAAGATTTGAAGAGTTGGACCTGAAGCCTATTTTGACCACGTTAAAAAAAGAATTTAAAATAAATACTGTTTTAATTTTTATTTTTAAGCATGTTCCACGAATGATGATAAAACGGAGGTTGTAAAGAAGGCTGATGAGATGTTATTCATTCAGCCGAAAATCATGACCTCTAAGCTCGAAATGGACCTTTATAATGACGATGAAATAACTGAAGGCTACGAAGAGCCAGAATTGCTGTTAAATCAGCCGTCAGGAGATTGTGTACTCACTATCAATGAATTTGAAACGTACTCCTTAAATAAAGGTGAGCCTAATTTTTTTAAAAACATTTTTATACATTCTTTTAACCAATTTATTGTTAAATTTTAAAGGAAATTCAGAGAGTTAGCTCTAGCACAATGCACCAAATCAGAATGCTGACTGTAAATCACGAAAAAGCTATATTTCTTTTATTATCTTTGTTAAGAAGCTACAAAGTAATGTATTTATTGTAAATAAATGATAAAAATTGAAAAACAAAATGTTAATTTTTTTTAAACACATACCTAACTTGAAAACAGAACTTAAGAAAGTCAAGCCTTTATAGGGTTAAATGTAATGTAAAATTTTATTTTTCTGTTTAGGGCAAGTGTATATATCAACTAACTCCATAAGGTGAAAATTTAACAGTTTTTGTACTACTTGCAATAGAGAGTTAATAGGACCCAGGGCTGTTGCCTACACCTATGTTCTAAGTTATTACAAATGACAGCTACCTTTTGCCAAAGAGGGAAAAGCATTGGTTCAAATGAGTTCAATAAACTTGTTGTAAAGGTAGGCTTTGTGATAAAGAGGCTGCGAAGGATTGCCTGTTAATCTGAGGCAAAAAAAAATGATGGAAGTCAAATTGTCATAATCAACAGGAATAGTGTTCTATTGGCCATCAAACAGCCTCCCAACAACAGAACTCCTTAATACACAAAATAATGGATTTATTAGAAAAGCTCAAAGAAAAAGAAATTCATTTAATCGGGATCAAAGTTCATATAGTCATCAGATATGACCCCACGTTAAATATCTAGGAGAAATTGGCAAAAACAATACGATTGGACAAAATTAATGAAAGGGTGCTACTATGCCAACCTGACCTCTTAACTATCACCTTAAGAAAATGAACAAGGGTGAGATGGAAATTTGCCGGCTCAAGTCAGGAGGAACCAGAGACACAAGCATTAGCCCATTTACAGTACAGCCACGTTCGTAGGATATTTTTCATACCCAAATAGATCCACAAATTGGCACCAAGGAAAGTGCTCAGTTGTATAACGGACTAGTGCACTTTCCAAGGTATAGCTATAAGTTAAAATGGGTTCCACAATAGACCTGTTTAGGTCACAGTAGGGGAAAAAAACCTAACCTGTAATCTAACACAGTGCATGTCCTCGTATCAAAAAAAAATTAATATACCCTAGATGTTCACATTATAAATCATATAAACTGTGGTTAGCCACAACCAACAGCCAAAATTGAAATCGTGGATAATGAAGGATGCGAATGCAACTTGGACGCCTGGTGATGCAAATCATGTAATCCTGAAGGATAAAAAAAGTAAATTAAAGTAAAAAGTAAATAAAAAAAAGTAAGTAAAAGTAAGGTAAAAAATAAAATTAAAGTAAAACAAACGGCCAGGAGGAGCAATGGTGGGAACTGAACTTACAACTAGGGTCTACAAGCTGAGAATCTATCATGCTGACATAAAAAATATCAGCATTTTGTATATCCTCTTCATATTCATAAATGAGAACAGTAGTGCAACAAATATGTATAAAATAATGTAAACAAATATGGCTGGGAGGAAAAAATTCTTGTGAGGCACGAACATTTAGATTAGGTAATATCCACATTTAAGTGTAGGTGAATTATTTTCAATGGTTACTCACTGAAGATGGTGCAATGCCAAAACACGTTTGAGTAAGTCGACAAACCCGTGAATGAAGACGAACCCAATGCCGATTCGGCATGAGTTCACCGACTCATGGACCAACACCCAGCGTCAACTCTATTTTCAACAAGTCAATTTATCAACTAATATAAGTAGTTCACCTGTTGAGAAAAAATGGATAAACAGACGATTGAAATTTTAAAACACTAAGATACCCAAAAATGCTCAAATCAGTTGTCCTAGTGTTTGAAGCTGATACTCACTTGTCCCGTATGAAAATCAATCCACTGCCGTTGTGGTTTTAAAAAAATTTCCGCCTGGGGTGATGACACAAAATTAAACGATGCAGTCTGCCAAGAAAACGGTAAATGGACAGGAAAAGGTTGATAATATGGACAGGGGAAAAAGAAAATTTGTATTTTGTTTTCTCTCTCTAATTACAACATAAAGCATGTAGTTTTCCATTTTCCTCATCCTTGCTTCAAATAAATCATATTCACTTTTTCTCTCTACCTCTCCCTCTCAATCAAATCAGATGCAATGGTAATAAATTAGCCTTAAAAAGACAAATACAGAAATAAATACGCTCCTAACTGGAAAAAAATAAAAATAAAACAAATTATAAACTAACAATACTATAAAAAATTTAGGGCTCGCAGCCCATGTTTTTCCTTTTATTTATCTACAGTTTTTGATGTTTCATAAATTTCAAACGATACATCTAAAAAAGCTTTTAGTACTAGTTTTATGAGTAAATAATATTTTTCCCTTGAATGTATAATATATAATATAATGTAATATTATCATAAATATAAAGCTTTTTAATTGACTACTAAGTATTTACACTTTTTTTTGTAATACTCTTATTTAATTTCCCATATATCAAACCATTTTACACATTTTTTTGTTTTGTTTTAAAGTTTAGTCAAGTGTTTTAGATAACTATAAAAATATTATTATAATACAAGGCGTTACTTATAAATTAAAAAAAATTTCATTTACAATGATCTACTTTTGTTTTTATGTTAGTCCGGCCATCTATGATGTCCAATTAAAAACAAGCCTATACGACACAATAAGCAATTTACAGAAAAGCATTAAGGCATTAAAATACAATGTTTAACATATTGTATTTTTTCTCTTCATTTGAATTTTTTTTTTTTGGAAAAAAAATCAACTACGCTTGCTACTCTTAGCAGGTACTGAGGTCTTCCGCTCGCAAAACAAAACATAAATGACAAAATATATATATTAATAATTTTTTTCCCTAAACATATATACTTAAAAAAAGAGATTACTTCCTGATTGTTTTTTGTTTGTTTGATTATCGACTATTGTTATGTACAAAATAATAATTGATTGGTATACTTCAGGTCAAAAAGTTTAAACTAATACCCTACAAATTATTTAAAGCTATCATTACACGTACACTACAAAAGCTGTTCTCATTTAAAATAATATTTTATTACAGTTATTCAAAGGCACTGATATCTTGTTTACTTACACACATCGTGGGGATAAGAGTATTTCTATTTTATTTTGCGTTCCTTTTAATTGAAAGTAACTAAACATTTTTAAAGAGCCCAACAAACATGGTCGGGTCGTATACAGGTAACAACAGCCTGCGTTTGTTTTGTAAAAATATTAATTTATATTTAAATTGGCACAACTAAAAACTCTATTTGTATTTGAATGTATAAACCCTACATACAAATTATATATAAATTAAAAACTTATAATCTAGCAAGAGAAAAAAATAAACATGAAAATTTATGAGATTCTTCTGAAAAACTGAATTGTTTCTATTTAAAAGTTTGAAAAAAAAAATAAATAAAACTCGACAAACTTTAACCAGATGAGTATTTTCACTATGAAAAATCTAGACATTTCACAAAGATTATTTACAATCTAAGGCAGTTGGCCTAGAAAAAAAGGGGGAGAAATAACAAAGCTCATGCAGAACTTCAAGGTACTTTGCACATTTTTGACCTGACTACACCAGAAATTCACGGGACAAAACACTTTTATCTTCGTAAAATAGATTTCCATCGTAGCAAAAGAGGTAAACTGTCACAACTATCACAATGGCGGATTATTTATAAAATTGTGGTTTATAATCAATCGATCTTTTAAGCTTTACTTTAGGCTGACATTTCCTTCTTGGGCCTGGAGCAGAGAAATAATTGTTTCAAAAAACAAACAACAAAGACATAATAAATAAATAAAAAATAAAACAAATGCAGAAACCTTTGGAAGTTGATTGATATGGAAGTAATCGTTTCAAAGTTCTTTAAATATTTTCTCTTCTATTAATGTTTTTGTACTACTCGGGAGAAAGTACTAACTAATAACTTATCTTCTCTTTAAAAAAATAAATAAAATAATAATAGAAAAATAACATGAATGATAATAAGAAAAGAAATATATATATAAACAAATGCTCTAATTAAAAAAATCACAAAATTTCAACTTTTCTTCATATTAGAAACTACACAAAAATATACAGACTACTTTATATACAAATAAGCCAATTAGATATTCGTTGCTTTTATGTTACTTTATATTATATATAAAAACTTGTCGATGCCAATGCATATGGCTCAATAAGTGCAAATTATTTTTATTTGTTAAATACATTAATCCTGTCAATATGTTTTAACATAAATTTTATAATTTTAATACTTTCAAACATAAATGAGATCAGATATTAATACCAATTTTCCACATGAAAATCCCGAATTTTGTTGGATTTTTTCCCCAGTAAAAATGACGAAATGTTGATCCAGTGAATTACATAGCTTACCACATATATATATTTTTTTTTAATATTTTCTATTCCAATTTGTACACAAATTTAATTATTATTTTTAAATTATCACAGATTCATAATTTAGAAAACAATTTTTTTTTTAAATTTATTATTTATAGTTAATATAATCCACCCCTGAAGTCAAGGTGCAAGGTTGATTTCTGCAGTGTTTTTTCTGTTTAAATTGATATTCTAGGATTTTCCTTACAAAGGAAAAACATGCTGTTATAATTTGTACTCTAGAAATGCAGCATTTTTTGAAAATCAAAACAAAACAAAAAATAAAAGAAAGACAGAAATGCCAATCCTAAATTAAAAGTAAAAATATGTTTAGTTGGCTCCCTTAGATCTTAAATAATACAAAACTAAAGTTTAAAGAATAAAACGTCAACTTTGAAACGATAATACTTCAAGATTAAAAAAAAAAAAAATCTACTTAATAATATAAATAAATGTACATGTTCAAAAATATGTACAAAAAACATTAGCACATAACTCAAATATTTTGAGGTGAAATCTCGTATAAGGCTACTTTTCGTTTATACCTCTTTTTTTTGTTATATCTTATTTTTAAACCATTTTATCATAATTAATAATTACTTTTTTTAAAGGTACATATTTTTTTATCTTTGCGCCAGGTCGAGCGGTGCAGGTGGTTGTTGCTCTTTCGTCGAGAGGTTGACAATAGCATTGAAAATTGGATAGGGCGACTGCGTCGAGATGGGCGGAATGCCAGACGTTATCGCGAGACCCTGTCTCATCCGGTCCTTCTTCCACTTCATCCGCCGGTTCTGAAACCAGATTTTCACCTGGCGTTCGGTGAGCCGGAGGGCTTTGGCGATTGCCAGCCGGCGATTCCGTTCCGGATACTGATTCACAGCAAACTCCTTCTCCAGTTCTGTCGTCTGCTGCCTCTTGTAAGGCACTCTGTGACCCCTTCGAATTACGGCTTGACCCCAATCTAAAACTGAATTTTCATTTTTTTTGTTTTAGATTAAAATGTTTAAAAATCAAATATTTTTTCTATTAAAAAAAAAAAAAACACTACTGGTGTCATGCTTTAGGGTAAGGAAAGAAGGAAATTTCAAAGGGCTCAATAATGAAAAACGATTTTTTTCTTAATTATTTTATTTTTACAGTCTTTCAGCATGACCAAAATTAACAAAACAAATTCTAATTGTTAACTGTGTAATTTGTCAGGTGTTCAGTCATTTCTCCTGCTGTAGTATATATGTCTTTTACCTGATAATTTGCTGCTTTCTGCTAACGTACAGTACAACTTTGTTGTAATAAAGTCTGGTTCCCAAACGATCCTGAAACACAAATAAAAATGTTCTACCTGGCCATCTGCCATAAAAAGATCTGAAATTTCTTTGTTTCTGATTTTGGACTACTTCTGCTTCACCTTTGCTCGTTTGGTTTGTCAGATGCGGTTTGGGATTATGCTATCTTCACCAAACTGAATCCAGTGAGAGATAGGCAGACCAAAATGATTGAAAATAACTGAACTACAGGTTCATCACCCCTTGCAGACCTCACAAAAAGAATCTGACATCGTTTGCTATAATTATTACAAAAAATAAAAAATGCAAATCTCATGATTGAACAACGTTAAAATTCAGCACAACATTGCGTAAACACAGATTATTCACAGGGGTTACTATTATTAGGGGTTATTAAGAAATGTCTAGGGGGAAATAAGTTTATTTAAAACCTCACGGAATAGTTAAAACTAGCATACCGAGTATAAACTAGGATTGTCCTCAACTAGCCAAAAGATCATTTTGAACAAACTGTTGGCTGGATTTTTAGGCATAAAACAGTTTGGGAAAAACAAAACATTTATATTTTTTAAGCTAATAAACAACACTCAAACTATCATTCACCTAGAATAATGATGACATCTGTGAAGGACAAATTTTTTTTGAAAGATTGAACTACAAGCTACCTTACAGACCTAAAGAGATCAATAAATTTATGTTTTTAGGCGGAAAACAATTCCATGAATAAATTCTAGATTGCAATAAAAAACATCCAAACAATACATTTCTCAGAATAACGATGAAATGAAATCATTCTGAAGGGCTAGGCAGTCGTATACGATGGTTGAGATATATTTTACAATATAAACCATCCAATTTAGGATATGTCTGAACAGTCAAGCTTGAGAACAATCCTGTAATTCAATAATTGTGGTGTTAAAAAGACGAGAAATAAAATATGGATTTTTATGGTGAGGAGACCTGCACCCTTAATTTGAATTGACAACTTGTTACGTGATGAAAAAAATCAAGCTAATTAAATGAAGATAAGGCAGAACGCTTTTAATTGTAAACAATTGTTAAAGACAAAAGCAATTATTTAATGAATCAAATTAAACTAAAGATGCCCAGTCATGGAGTTTAATTAAGAAAAATGTGCATTTTCTTGGACTTTCATGTTTGATTTGTTGCTCGCTTTAACAAGTTGGAGATAAAATTTATTATTTTTAAATAACTTTAATTGAACTATAGTTAAATTGTGACATTTCCTCTGTGGTCTGCAGGGTGATGAACCTGCAATTTGAATTGAACCTTATCGATCATCTCTGTCTGCCTATTTTCAGGTGTGACACAGAAGATGGTGAAAGTCAAAACTCGACAGAACACCCAGCGAGAACAGACTTTGATGATTAAGAACCAATCTGATGATTTAGTAAAAATATAGGTTTGTCGCAGATTGTTGGTTTCACCACCTCTGTTATGCACAACATGCCTATGATATCTGATAAGCATATTTATCATAAACTATTGATGGTGGTAATAAGCCAAAACGCGTTTGACAGGTCAAAATGGCAAGGATATCCAGAGATGATGAAAAAATTCAGTTTTAAACTTTAGATTAGGTTTTTAATAGTTGACTCTTGTTAATTCAAAACTTGATAATTCTAATTCTTACTAGTTTGAATTTCTCAGCAGGTCACTGGTAAATAGAAAAAATTCTGTGTATTTTGATACACTCGGTAATACTAAATATTTTTCATAACAGGGGGAGATTTATAGGCATTCTATAAATTGATACGGAGACACTTTCCCTTTTAATAATGTGAACTTTTTCTTAGTAATATTCCACTAAATTTACAGTTTAATTCCTTACAGCCTAAGGATGAAGCTAAAGTTTATAGAATTTTCTCTAGTTTGTTAGTCAGGTTTCTATCAATGTGTTCTCAGCATTGGTTACATTGGAAAACCATTTAGACAAAGAATGCCTGGCTACATTAAAAAAAACAAAAAACTTCTTGATTTTTTTTAACGTGGACATAATGTTCAATTTTCCTACATCACACAAGCCCATATCTCACCAAACAATCATTAATAAACAGTCACTAAATACTATACATTTCAATTAATAATTTGTAAAAATGTGTAACAACTCTTAATAATTTGATTTTCATTCCTCTTGATAATTCCAATTATTTTTGTGGCCCTTTCAGTTTCAAATTATCATGTGTTGACTGTATAATGCCAAGGTTGAGATGAAAAATTAGTGTCACGAGCAGGACTTGAACCCATGACATCCCGATCAGTACTCCGGCGCTGTACCACTTGACCTGTCACAACTCCACTCCTCGAGACATCGACTCCTTATTTTAACCGAATACTTTTTAAATTTTCCCTTTCATCACATCAAGTAGATTAGGGAGAAAAGGATTTTTTCAATGATCGAGATCAAGGACCAAATCAAAGAAGTGCATCTCAGAATGTCCACAATCTTTCTACGACTAGACTCATCCGTGCAAGTTTAAAAGTTTATTTTTAAAATATATTTAATTTGAGAAGTAGTGTATGAGAAGATCGAACAACTTTTAATAATAATATGAAAAGCTCGTATTCATGGATTATCAAAAAATGTTTTTAATGAACCGATCCAGTAGTATGCTGAATGTTTATTATTTTACCAAGATAGATTTGATGTGTTTCATTATCATTTTGTAAACTTGTTCAATTTTTTTTTAAATATTTTTTTTTTTTAGTGGATAAATTGTTTGAATTGTGCTGGAAGAGTGGAACCGTTGGAATCGTTCCGACGATTCGGCGAGTGGAGAAATCGTCTCGGACGCGGCTCCGTCCCGGGTGGAAAAATTACGACGGGAGAGACCGCCGGAGGTGGAGTTTACGCCCTCGCCTCGCGAATCCTCGTGAAACACCTGGAACCAATTTAAATTATAGGACGGATTTCGAAAATTTAACTACCCGGATCGGAAAGACAAGAGAAGAAGAAGAAGAAAAAAAAAAGAAGCGGACTGGGGAAAATAAATCCTTCGGCCCGAGGCGCTTGAAAATCGGCCGGCCCCGACGGACTCACCTCGTTTATCGGCGTTCCTCCTCACCTTTTACAAAGAGGGCGAAGTTTAAATTGAAATCGCCGTAATCGCGGATTGACGAAGGGTAAATGACAATTTTCAGTACTTTCTAAATTTATACCAAAATAGAAAACCAAAAGCTTCAAAGGAGGCTACAGACGCTGTTATAATATATATTTATTTATACTATTAAAAGTAGTTTTTTTTCTCTTCTTTTTCGTCCTGTTGGGTTTTTATTTTAGACTTGATTTTTCCAATAGGGTTTGGAATTACTTTTATTTTCTCGTCGGAAGTCTGGAATCTGTTTTTTGTCTTTCGTTCTTGTGGGTGTTTTTCGTTTTTCTACCTCGTTTTCGAGTCTTGCCACCGACGACGAATATCTCCGTAGATCTCGCGATCTAGGAGGCGTCGGCCCGTCCTTTCTACGTATGTGAAATCCAGGTGGCTTCGGACGTAGTTTCAGTCGTGTGACCGATGTATCCAAACAGTGTTTTCGTCTGAATCGACTTTGTCGTTAAACTTTTTTTTTTTAGTTTGTCGCTCACTTTTTTTTTTCGCCCGCTCGCCCCCAGCTTCGGCGTTCTCTCCCCGTTTATCCTCAGAGGTCGGCCGAGGAAGGAAACTCAACCGGGATTTAACGCATATTGAATTTAATGGCGGGGAATCAACAGTTCTGCCTCCGATGGAACAATCACCAGTCGACTCTGATATCCGTCTTCGACAATCTGCTGGAGAGTGGGACTCTGGTCGACTGCACGCTAGCCGCCGAAGGGCAGTACCTCAAGGCGCACAAGGTCGTCCTTTCTGCGTGCAGCCCTTTTTTCGAAGTGAGTACGTTTTTCTCATTTGAGGAGTGTGTTTTTTTTCCTATTGCGTGCCGCTCTGGAGCGGGGCCACGGGGCCGACGTGTAGAATGTAATGCGTGTTATTGAAGGAGATATTGGGCTCTTGGGTCATTACCCTGCCAGACCCAATGCCTCCGCGACCAAATATGTGTCAGCTTTGTATTTTTGTGCCATTTTTGCAGTTTCCTTCACGGCCGAGGGACCCTCGCCTTTTCACACACAAAAAAATACCCATAAAGATATACCAGCTAGGTTAAAGTCACAATTAAAATCTCCTCCAGTGATAAATTGTTAAAAAAATCAAACAGTTGGAACGGTTAAACGATTAAATTCTTCCCTCGTCTTCACCGGGCTAAATTTTTACATATCAGACATTTTTTTTCTCCATCCTAGAGAAAAACTCACTTCAAAATAGCAGAAATTGATAAAAACTATTTTCTGATAAGCATAGTTTCATCTTTAGTATTGAAATCACTGGGCGTTAAAAATTCGACCAGTTGAACGGTTAGATTCTATCACTGCTACATCTGACCTTTTTTTCCCCATTTATTTAAAAAAAACCGACTTCTTAATTCCAAAAATGTGGTAAATCCCGTAAAATTAAAAAAAAATTCTGAATAAAATGACCGTATATTTGTTAAGTTTAAAGGTTTAACTTTTGCTGTTGAAATGCCCAGTTGACATGATGTGTTAAGAAGTCGAACGAACAGCGGGAAACATGAAATCTTAACACTCGGTCAACAACAGATTTTATGAATATCTACTTTTATTTTGAACTTAGAGAAAAATACCAACAAATAACTGACCAAATCTTGGTAAAATTAAAATTAACTGATTGGAATAATCATGTTTGATAAAGTTAAATTTTTAATATTGACATCGCCGAAAATACCTTGTGTGTTAAAAATTCGACCAGTTGAAACTGTTAGAATCTATCATTTGGCTACATCGGACTTTTTTTCATTTATTTCGAAAAACAGACTTCTCAATTACAAAAAAGTAGGATAAAACCAGTGAAAATAAAACATTTCTGATCGAAATAATCGTACATTTGGTAAGTTTAAAGTTTTATCTTTAATATTGATATGGCCCAAATGACCTGATGTGTTAAGCAGTCGAACAGCGGGAAAAGGTTAAATTATAACACTCGGTCAATCACAGATTTTACGAATATCTACCTTTATTTGCACTTATAGAAAAAAAACCCACAAATAACTGAACAAATCTTGGTAAACTTAAAATTTACTGATTAAAATAATCGTGTTTGATAAGTTAATAAGGTAAAAAAATATTTTTAATGTTAGAATCGTCGAAAACACCTGGTATGTTAAGAAGACGACCAGTTGAAACGGTTAAATGCTAGCATTTGGCTATATGGGATTTTTTGTCGCATTTGTTTAGAAAAACCGACTTCTCATTTGCAAAAGAAATAATAAAGGATAAAACAAGTTAAAATAAAAAATTTCTGATCGGAATAATCCTATATTTGATAAGTTTAAAGTTTTATCTTTTACTATTGACTTGGCCCAAATGACCTGGTGTGTTAAGCAGTCGAACAGCGGGAAAGATTAAATTATAACACTCGATCAACAACAGATTTTATGAATATCTACTTTTATTTGCACTTAGAGAGAAAAAAATCCACAAATAACAGACCCAATCTTGGTAGAATTAAAATTTAATGATTAAAATAATCATGTTTGATAAGTTTAAATTTTTTATTTTTATTACTAAAATCGCTGAAAATGCCTGGTGTGTTAAGAAGTCGACCAGCAGAAAAAGCTAAATTCTAGAATTTGGCAACAAAGGCCTTTTGTTTGTTCCATTCATTTCGAAAAACAGATTTATCAATTGTAGAAAATAGGATAAAACCAGTCAAAATAAAATTTACGGTTGAAAATAATCGTACCTGATAAGCATAAACTTTTAAGTTTTATTATTGAAATCGCCCAAACCTGATCACCATTTGCACTTAGGAAAATAATATTTATTTATAAATGCCCAAGTAAAACTGGTAAAATTGATTAAAAATAATCATCAGTTTGATAAATTTAAAAGTTTAATTTTCACTGTTGAAAAAGCCTTAATGTTGAAACGGTTAGATTCTAACTTGTGCACCAAACTTGATTTTTATATTGATCATTTATCACTATTTATTTACTCTTCAGTTAAATTTTTACATTGAATTGGCCTAGTGTGTTAAGAAGTCGACCAGTTGAAACGTTCATTAACACTTTTACAATAGACTTGATTTTTTAAATTATAATTTGTCTGCAGTTAGGAAACAGTATCTACTGATAACTGCTCAAATAAAACTTGTACTATTGAAAGTTACCGATTAAACGAATCATATAAATATTTGATCGATTTAAAAGTAAAATGTTTACTATTGATCTCGACCAAATAACGAGTCATTTTAAAAAGTCGACCAGCAGGAAGGGTATAAATTCAAACACTTAAGTACTACACGTGCAAATAAACAGCTGACAAAAACAACAGGACTAAAAAATAAAAAGGAAAACTAACTGCAAGTAAGAAAGAAACCTAACACTGTAGAGCAACTATAATTTATTTTTATTGTTATCAACATTTATTTACTCTCAGTATACCAGACTTTATTTTAATAGCTGTCCTTTTTTATTTTTATTTTGCTGCATTTTCGAAGAAAAACTGACTTCAGATTGTAGAAATGAATAAAGTCGGTAAACAATTTTTAAAAAGTTTTTATCTTTTAGGATTGAAATAACCGAAAATTGGTGTGTTAAGAAGTCGACCAGCAGAAACACTAAAATACACTAGACTTAATCTATTTTTATTATCCATTTTTTAAATTTATTTTTATTCGATTTTTGAAGAATAATTGACTTCAAAAACTGAAGAAATGAATAGAACTGGTTAAAAAAAGTTCTTTTAGTATTGAAATTGCCCAAAATATCTGATGTGTTAAGAAATCGACCAGCAAGGAAGGTTAAATTCTAACACTCAAATACACCTAACTTGATCTATTTTAATATCAGTCTTTTTATTTATTTTTATAGTATTTTTTATGAAAAACTGACTTCCAAAACTGTAGAAAAAACACTCTCAACACTACACGCAAGAATGGCACAATTACACAGAAAACAAACACTTTGAGCCCTGAAGATGATCTCAATAAAGATCGAAACGTTGGCACGATAAAGAAAATGTTTTTCTGAAACCTACATCACACCAGACCGCATCTCACGATTTCTGAATAATTGTAGAAAAAACTTTCAATTTTTAATATTAAAATCACCGAAAAATACCTTGCTTGTTAAGAAATCGACAATAGGGAGTGTTAAATTCTTCGGAATCTTTTGCGATAAAGACTAGGCTATTGGTTTAATTTTAACACAGTTAAATTTGCATTTAGGACAACAATTAAACAAAAAAAAAGGTGTTGAACTGAACGTATAAACAAACATCTTTACGCTGAAATTTGCTTTTCGGCTATTAACATATCATTACCAAAAAGGTACCTTGTTAAAAACTATTAAATTCTAACAGTCGTCACTTTCAACACCGGCCACTATTTCTTGAAACACCAGCATTTATTTTGATTTTAAAGGTAAAAATTAAAACATTGACAAAACTATTTACTAAATACGTTTTACAATTTATGATAAAAACCTACGAAAAATTATTACCCTTACTATTTACTATATTATTTTGATTCTTAGAAATTTAATTTTTTATAGCTTTAAACAATTATGATTAAAGACTTAAATCTAATGGTCTCTTGTTAAAAAGTCACATAGTTGGAATGGAAACATTATTAACATATTTTTATCAATCAGTATCAAAGTCATATGTTGCACAAATTAAAAAAAAAAGAATAATTTTTATTATTTTATTTTTTAATTTTTATTTTGATGCAGTTTCAAACCTCTAAATGAAAGTGCAGAAATGAAAAGAGCTGGTAAACAACAAGCATAAAAAATAAATGAAAAGCCTCTGTAGTTGTATTTGATAAAGCTAGATAAGTTGATAGTTGTAATATTTACATTTTATCATATTTGAAATTTGAAATAATGCTATGAGAATCTACCAGCTCAATTTTATTCACTTTTTGTAAAGGGTGGTTCTACTAAGAAAACTTAGTTTTATGAGTAGGACCATCCATTACAAAAAGTAAATTGACTTACCCACCACAATTATTTCCATCTGCAAGTACAATTTTAAACACTCATCCGAGCTGGATTTTAATTAGTTAAATGTATGTTATTATTTGCATTGGGGGGGGGGGACCTGCAGCTAAACCGTTTTTAAATATTAAAATTTGAACTGAAAATATTAATAGCCAGTTATTCATTTCAAATATGGCAAGTTCACATTTTGAACAATAATAATTAAAAAGGCCTATTAAAAATTACTTTACTTGCATTTAAAGAAAAAAAAATGTTAATCAATGTTTCATGAAGAGAAAAAAAGCAACGTGTGGTAAAAAAAACATCGAAATTTAATTTTTAATAGCTTTTAGCGTCATTATCAAATTCCCTAGTGCTAAAAAGTATTACCTTTTGCTATTGAAATCGCGGATGTGTTAAAAAGTCGACCAGCTGGAAAGGCTTAGTTATAACACTCGTTTATATCAGACTTGATTTTTGATAAATATCGACTTTTACTTGCACTTAGGTAAAAATATCTGTAGGTAACTGCCCATATTAATAAAATTACCTCTTAGAATCGAAATTTATTAAACTATTCGTATTTTTGATAAGCTTAAAATTTTCATTTTATCAATAACTGCTCAAATTACTCTGGTAGAATTGACATTTATGCATTACAATAATCCTGTTTGTCAAGCTTATTAAAATTGTAATTTTTCCAATTGAAAATCACCGAAAATACTGTGTTAAGAAATCGTAAATTTGAAATGGTTAAAATCTATGGCTCGGCTACATCGTATAGAAAAACGGGTTTGTCAATTGCATAAATGGGATAAAACCATTTGAAATAAA